AGGGTTTATTTTATTGTTGTTTTCATTGGTTACCAGTTCTGCTTGCAGGTTGGCTATTTCGTTTTCAATTATTCTAATTCAAACTGTTTGGATTTATACGTGTATTTATTTTACGTCAAAAAATGTTTAAAACTGTGTGACTCGCTACGAGGAGAAGTGTATTCTGAGAACGTTTATTAATTCTGATATCGCTTCCCTAAGTTTAATTCTGAATACAGAAAGAAATGAGAATTTTTGGCAAGAATTGTTAACAAAATATTATCTCCGGTGTAAAAAGAAAATCTAGTTTCAAATTCAAATCAGCTATAGGTTGGGTACTTATCCTTCACTACGACCTTCATGAAGGAATATACTTCTTCTGCGACGATATGGAGAACGATTATTTGAATAACTATATTTCCACCTGAATAATAATAATAATAATAGTAATAATAATAATAATAATAATAATAATAATAATACCAATAGTGACTTTATTTATGTGGCGAGACACGGGCCATCAGGCCCGCTCTTCCGTCTAACCATGTAATATATAAGTTTATAGATAAAAATGGAAACAGTATGCCGAGATACATTTAGTAAATAAAATAAAATACAACTCAGAGATGTCTTGCCCCTGGGCTCACAAACGCGAAATAAAACAACGTTCCAGCATTTACCTTAAGGGAAAACAAAAGAAGTCTGTATGCTCTTCAGCGTTGAGCAACAAAAATAAAATACATTTAAAATAATTTTTAAAAACAAACATTACTGGCACATGAACACTAAAAAGACGTGCCCGAAAATAAATTATAAATGATATTAATTTAGCGTTTTGCATAACATTTTAACAGATCTCATCTCAAAGATCTCAAATACATTATATCATAAAAAAAGATGACATATGCACCCAAATTCTCGTCTACGACGACGGCTTAAGACAGATTTTAGTTAACGTCATGGGAAAACACGCCTTCAATTATTACTTCATTTCAACTTTACGCTGATACCTAATCTAAACTTATTATTATTATTATTATTATTATTATTATTATTATTATTATTATTGGCCTGATTTTATCTCATGAAGAGCGAAAGCCATCTGAATGCAGGGTGGGTAGTTAGTTTATTATATTCTAATTATACTGTAATGGTATATACTAATGATACTAATGCTTGATTCTACTAAACTAACGATAGTACTATAGCTTGATATAAACTAATTATTCTATTGTTAATTAAGTTAAGAACTAACTTAAAAATTCTAAAAAAGAAAAAAACCTGTTAAGATGCGATATAAAATTCTGGAATCTTATTGTTTTGAGATAAGAAGTTTTATGGGAGAGGTATGTAGATGGAACCATATTTAATATTTTGTAGAGAAAGCACAAATTATGAAGCATGCGACGACCTTTCAAGTTAAATATGTGATTTGCTTTGTAGTATCCCGATAAGTTATCATACTTTCTGATATTATATTGAAACCTAGCACATACATTTTGAACTCTTTGAAGAGCATTAGCGGTTGATTTCTCTAAGTTACCGTACACAATATCACCGTAATCAAGCACGGAGAGCAAGAGCGATTTTACTAATAGTTCTTTGGATTTGTGAGGAAGGTATTTGAAAGCACATTTGAGTTCATTGAGGCATACACTAGGCGGCAAATGTCCCGAGCATGTGATTCCCAATTTAGGAATCGATCGATAATCAGACCGAGGTTTTTAACTTGAGAGCAAAGAGTGTTGTCCAGTATATGAGGAATATTTAGAATTTGAAGTGTTTTGTGGGACCGACAGTAGCCAATTATAGTTGATTGAGATTTTAAAGGGTTTAGCTTAAGGCCGTCTCTCACTGATTATTCAAGTAAAGAGACCAAATCGTGATTTGTTTCACTAACTACGGAACCCTTAATGAGCTACTACTCGTAATGAGATACTTCACTACTCGTAAATGAGCCACTACAGAAGGTTTCTCGCTTACATAGATCTGTAAGTAGTATGCATACATATGACTGCACATTGATAGCTCATACGGGATATCATTTACATAGATCAGGAAGAAAATCTAACTTGGTACGGAGACCTGTGCCACTACATGTAAAACTGGTTCAGGTGACGAGAAAGTATTTTTTACAACTTCGACCTGTTGTATATAACTAAAATAACTAGAAATTCACGATAAGGTAGAGTCAGAACAACTCAGGCATTTACATTTTTCCAGATGCACGGGGTCTACTGAATCGAAGGTCTTGCTGAAAACTAAAAGCGTTCGCGTCGTTATATTGCCTTCATCCAGATATTGACGAATGTCTTCGGTGACTCGCAGCAAAACCGTTTGCGTACCCTAAAATCAGATTGAAAATTATTGAGAACATCATTTATGGCGAGATTCTTGTCTATTTGTTAACTTACAACTTTTTCAAGGATTGGATAGTGTTGGTAATAAACTGGTAGTTGGACAATCACAGGGATTTAACGTATTTAAACATTTTGGGAGGGGACGTATGTAAACAAGTTTCCACAATTTGGGAAACAATCCGAATGTTAAAAAAAAGTTTATGATGTGTGTAAGTGATGGAAGAGCGTCTTTTAAATCCAATTTAATTGCCTATTATATCAGTGCCTTTAATATTTTTAAACATTGTTGAAATAGGATCTGTAGGGTACATTAGAATGCAGCGGAAGCAAAATAATCATTTAGGTAAGGGAAAATCTAATGAACTGTCATTTGACTTACGTTTCCAAACTATTAACGTATTTTTTAACGTATTCCATACTCCCTTCTTACTGTAATTTATTTGGAAAAGAGTATGATAACGAAAATTTTGAAGTTATTATCTGTCATTTTGTCAGAGCCTTTTTAATTACATTTCAGTACCTTTACTTTTTTTGACATTGTTGAAATAGAAACTATCGTAACAGAGAGGTGCATGTGATTCCAGAAAGCGGTGTGGCTTTTCTTTCATAATAGGGTACAGTGGATTAGATGTGTAGTGGAAGCAAAATAATCATTTATGTCATCTAAGGGAAAATCTAATGAACTGTCATTTGACTTAAGTTTGCAATTATTAAGTTTTTAACGTATTACATACTCCCTTCTTAATGGAATTTGTTTAAAAAAGATTATGAAAACGAAAATTTTCAAGATTTTTGTACTCTTTTTATTTTTTATTGGTTTTAGAAGCTTTAAAACGACCATATGCGGAATTTCTATCTTTCATATGAACTTTTAACTCTTTTGTAAGCCATGGAGCAGCAGGCCGCGTGATACGAGAAGTTTTCCAAGGAGCAATAAAAAGGTTCGTTATGATTTCATTAAACACATTTACTTTTGAATCTAATGAATATTGTGGATAAACCTCGAGCCAAGAGCACGTTTAGGTCGACTTGACACGCTGTAAAATCTAAATGTCTATAATCACGGTAATGGATTGCTTTAGTTTGTTATTTAGTAAACTTAGCCGAGTATTCAACAATGAGTAAATCATGGTTTGAAATACTCAGAACAGGAACTTGACCATAGAGTAATACTTAAGAAATATCTGGGACAATCGAGTTATCAATCCACGATTCCGTTTTAGATGAGCTAAGAGTAGGAGTCAATTTTAATATTTGCAAGTTATATGAATTGAAAGTATGAATAAAATTTGTGGCAGATTTTGTGATGGAATTTTTTAAGTCACAATAAAATCCCTCATTATAATAATATCTTGATATTTACCTGTGAGTTGTGAAAGTGATTCCCCTAATTAATATAACCCTGATTAATTCCCTATTTGGAGGCCTACAACCCTGACAAGGAATTGTTTTGTCCCATATCAACAAACATATATTTCAAGCTCGGTGAATTCATAGTAGATGTTTTGGTTATTTTACTATTTATAACATCATGCAACACATCCACCGGATTTCTCTTTAAATTTTTTTAAAATATTTCTATCATCTCGTAGGAATTTATATTTAGGAATCGACACAAGATCAAACGACGCAGTAGATTTAAACCAAGTTTCACTAACTAATTATACGTATGAGCTATCTTCAGAAAGAATATTTAAAAAATCTGAGCGGTGTGTTTTTAGAGATTAATTTGAAAGACAGACAAGCCACGAGGAAAGTGCAAAATGGATGCATTGGAGGTCTGAGGGTGTAGCAGGGCTACGAGGGGTAGGTAGCAAGCTTAACGCCATACTGCGTCCAATGCCACAGACACGTATGTGTAGGTCCAGCGAGACTTCATCTTCAGGTTGCCAAATCTTTGACATTGTATTTGAAAGTGTGTACTTCAGAGGTCGAAAGAAATTAAATATAATATATTAAAGGTAAAAATTGAATAATAACTAATAATCTAAGTATAAGTGACACTTTCGAAAAGAATGTTTAAAGGTACGCGTCATTAACCGGTAGCGAGTCAGCTTCAAACATTGTGCTGATGTGTCTTTTCCCCTGTGAGGTATTTACATACATTGCATCATCAAAGAACTAAGCATTTTCTGAAGGAAATTTGAAATACATTTTATCAGTATTTCAAATCTATGCGTTGTTAAGTCTTCTCTAATTACTTTACTACTACCTACAAGTTTTCTTTAATTTTTAAATATTTCAGCCCTTTTCCTATAAGAAACTAAATTAACTATAATAAAGGCATGGTTCCTATCAATATCTTCAAGAGTACGACTTACACCAACATCTCTTGCCACCTATTACTTTAGTGTCAGTGTTTTCATATTTGGACTGACTTACTCCAAAAAAGCGGAGCAAATTCCTCCGCTGTTATTCCGGACTCTAGAAGACGTGCACAGATAATGAAGCTACATGGAATGTTTTAAAAATTTCTTTAAAAAAATACGAATGTACCATTTTCCAATTTTTATAAGTGAAAAGGCGGACAGTGTTGAGCAATTAGAGTAATCATCCAGGCTGCAGGACCGTGGTTTATTTGATGTCTCGGTTCCAGAAGTTTAGTCTTCAAATTTCAGCAGACATCGTCAGTGGCTAAGTCGTGACTAAGTTTTCTTGCAGGTGGCTGACAAAGAGACCTGCTCAGCGAGGCCTTTTGTAGCGCTGGGAAGTCGGTTGCGGGTTTCCGTGCTGTCTGTTGATTGTCTCGCCCCAGATGCTTATGTGAGTCGCGCCCTTATTTAACTGTGACACGCTTTTTGTATTACACGACGGAGTGCGGTGTCTAAAATAGTGGATTTTCACTCCAATCTCTTTTTTATTGAAATTCATACGATGTTTGTGAACTTCAAAGGCCTCACAGTAGAGACTGGCATGGTAGGGTTTTGTACGGAATAAAATATCGACTGTCCAAATTGTGTGACGTGTTCTCGGCCGGAGAGAGCGTATTAGGCCACTGCCAACTTCATAGAGTGACCAAAATGACAGTTTGTTTTGTGTTCGGAGAGACAGGTGTTAATGCTCAGTTGATTGGTACCGTTGTTCACAGCGCCACAAGAACAGGCAATTCTGTTGACGCATGCTAACGACAGGGGGTATCTGATACCCTTTGTCGATTGTAATAAGTTGTGCAGCTATGTTGAAGGTTTGAAAATGTCATACTTTTTCTAGCATAAGAGAGTAAACTATTGTGCTGGTTTCATTTTCAGAATTGGTTTTTTCAAAAATTGCAAAATCATTAACAGTGAATAAGTCAAATATTGTTGATAGATATATCTGTCTTAAATAAATCTATTCTACAAATTAATCTCTAAGAGATTACTCTACTTTTTGTTTTGCAAAAAAGAGCGTTTCGCGTAATATCTCCTTGAAGTTAATGCAATTTGTAAAAAGATTCTCAAACAACGTCTGCAATATTTTTCTTTTTTCTCACTGATAGAGCAGTGTGCGCAGGTTAAAAAGAGCTAAAATAGCACAGGACTTATTTTCAATAACGGCTCTAAATTTTCGAAAAAAATAAAAGTTATAAATAATGCGACAAAGTATTTTTGCTGTAGCATCACAATTTATGAATGACCAACAAACGATTGTGTAAGAGCAGGTAATATAATAATTCTGTTACATTTTTGTAATAACAATCTCTATATAAAAATGTAAAAATGAATGTAATAAAATAATTCAACGTTTCATTTAATGGATTATTGTGTAGAAATGTCTTCAGTCTAGAAAGACCTGTTTCTGTATCCCAATGATATTATTCACAGTAAGGTATGTAATCTAAGAACACACGACTATATTTATTGAATTTAAAGTCTTGGAGGCAGAAAATTTATGTTTTTATTAATAAATGTTACGGAAAATAAACATCTGAGATATTTCAATAGAAACAATTTAATAAGTAAAGTATAAGTAAGTCAATTTTTAAAATACACTTAACAAGAATAAATATGTAATAAAATACAAATTTCACTTTTCAGTTTTGATAATCAACAAAAAAAACGATTCTTCAGCAGAAAACTCTCTCCCAACAAAAAAGTATTTAGACGAAAACCCAGAAGCTGTACTAATCTAGAGAACTCAAATCAGCATTGCGAGCAGATTTCGTTATATTCCATTGAAACTTCGCAATGAAATCGTTGCACAATCGCAGTGTTTTCCCTAACAGCACATAACAGAGCGTTTGCGAGAGACAGCGAATGGTAATGAGAGTGCAAGCCGGGCTAGCAGCGGCCGCCCCTGGCGAGGTCGCGCGACTAGCTCCGGTTCGCTGCGGGCGACGTCACTCGAAATTGATATTAGGGCCAGTGGTCATTGCGACCGCGCCGCGGGGCTGCCCATGCTCTCTCCGTGACGAGCTAAACTGCGTCCCTCGCCCCTGCTCCGAAACTCGCGATAGTATTTGCCGGTCCGTTTATGAGAGATATAAAAACGTCATGTTTTCATTTATTTTCGGCTTCTGTACCCAGTCGGATACTGATATTTTTTTTGTGATTGTTTCTGCATAATGCGCATAATGATTCTGCATAATGATTGTTTCTGCATGAATGAGAACGTTCATATTGCTAATGAGATAAGCAAATGTTTTTTTTTAAATTATTTTACACCCTTTTCTTTTCAAAATATAGCACTATGTATGTAAATGTATAGCATATCGGTATAACTCAGAATACTGAGAGACCACTCCAGTTCTAGAATAAAATCTCCGGAATAAAAAAAATTGTCAAAAACGATCAGGACTAGTAGGTCTGAGATGCCATTGCTCTTAATCTTAAGTGCTTAGCATTTTACACACTCTCTCCTTTCGTATTTCTTTGGGCATTAGATAAATGAGTGAGCAACTACCATTTCATTTTCGTGATTAACACCCTGTGGTCGACTCAATGGCGCATTACAGACCTAGTTCGATCAAATTTATTGCGCAACCAGTAAATTGATAGTCTACTTAATGGAGTGGTATTGAATTCATCTGTATTTTTCACTCGAGCATATTCAGCATTCTCTGTCTTCCAGAACTGTTTAATTAACTACTTCCGTTGGTAATTGCTTAAATTACCAGCCATGTTTGTCTGAATATCTGAAAGAATTGAAAAAAATGTCTTAGAACAGATACAAATATAGTATACGATATGTATACCTACTTGTGCATCCTTTGTATAATTGCTCGTATGATACCAACTTGGATTTGATTTTTTCGAAATTAATGATGTTTGAATGGTGTGTGCCAATTGAATCTATTGTACCTAATAATACATCTATCATTCTACACTATCGCTTCTGTATTCAATTTTATTGCGGTATTACATATTATCTCGTATTAATAAAAATCACTTTTCTCTTGTTTTTTCTATAGAATTTATTAATGCTGAACTGTACTACTTTATGGAATAATATGATCCGAAGAAAAGACAGTGCAAATCTAAATGTCTTTCAATGATTCATAGAATAGAATTTGAGTGAACAATGTTGAACTGAACAATAAAAGTTTGAATGCAAAAAGGATCCATAAATCGTACAAATGTTGTAATTCTGATAGCATTTATTGCTATCTCTAAACTTAGATAAACATGTAAAACACTAGCAACTACGAACTACAAGATATTTTGTAATGGTATTGAAAATTCAACTTTGAGAACTTTTTCATTCTAAATATTTATAGAGTTTCGTAAAGAATTAACATTTTCAGACGAATTGAAAAGACTTTATCATTATGTAGTCAGAATATTACAAATGTTTGCATCCTGCGTAAGATCATCCTGTGTTGATGCTCATACGAACCGCAAAGAAACCGTAAAACAATTTTTTACAGAATTTTTGCCCGCATTTTGATCTACTTGATTCTTTATTTAATCATATTTACAGTTCAGTTGCATGGTTATCGGATATTCCTTCTTTAAATTTTCCATGTATTTTTAATAATAATATTTCCCTTTTTGTTACAATACAGAAAATGTAGAGTCTCTTACAGGGTTCCAAAGTCAAATTATACGTTTGTTACTGATAACTTAGTGGGAAGTATGAACTGAATATTGCATTAAATTGAATGTCTAAGTTTGTTATCAGATTTAATATTGAAATGTTTAAAGCTGATATAATGGGCATTGAAAGTTTGCTGCTTTCTGTTCTGAGGTTTGAGTAATATTGCAATCGTTTTTCTATATTTGTTATTTTGTATGTTTGTTGTATTTTCTTTGAGCTACCGTATCTTCTGCTGCACATTCCGAGTGAAACCATTTTTTGTAAAATATTATTTTGTAATGGAATTTTATCTATTAATTAAAATAAATAAATTAATTAAATATCTTTATTCAATTCAGGTTGTAAATGTAAAATAACTGTTGAGAAATATATATAAATTTTAAACTAGTTTTATTAGAAGACAAATTACAATTCCCCAAAATATCTAAACACCAGTATAATGTTATTTTCGAAGAACAAACGTGATTAATTCTAGTTTTCCAGAATTAAATCGATGATAAAACAAAATTCCATTTTTTGTATTTCAGTTTGATAAAATATTATATTGATGATCCACTTGTTTGACAGTGTCATAAGAAGTTTGTAACAATTATTTTCTTTGAATAAACGTTTTCATTCTTTTTTTCGGGATATAGCACGGTGGTCCAACAGTGAAGTACACACATAATAACTCGCAATATCAATATGCAATTTTATACAATGTGAGCAGGGTATGGTGTAGATATATTTTTTGTTTAGGAGATATTGGATCGTCTTTGAATTTTTAATGGAATTACTTTTCTACATGAAAAAGATAAAGAAGTAAAATATAATGTAAAATTTCAGTTATTTGTTAATGTTTTACAGTAAATACTGGGAAGGGAAATTGTCCATTTCAATCACGTTATCTAAAACTACACCCACTTAAAGAGTTGCAGCCTAGAAGGGCAAAGATCAAGAAATGATACCCACCATTGTGAATCTTCCTGCATTATTATTTTGTTTTTTCCCGTTATCATTATTGAGATAGAGAATTGTCTGAATATGAATCTTTTTTATTATATTTTGCCCTAATTTCAGGTTATTTCATTCCCCTCGCTTTTGCAGCTGCTGGCAAAACTTGCAACTAATAAAGCAGGTCATATTTTTCTTGTCTCGGCCGTTGTGTGGTAAAAATCGTTTTGGACGTTAGTTTCATTTCTTGCAGGGTACTATTTCAATTTGCTTTATAATTTCAACATAACTTCGCGCTGCTCAATCGTACATGAAACTCTTTATTAAATATTGTGTAAAAAGGCTATCGACCTCGCCATCTGGCTAGTGTCGAAAATCCTGCCACCGTCGGGACTCGAACCCCCAGGTCTTCCCGCTCAGAGGCTCTGCAGTGACGTCCATTGATGCCCTAATCCCCCTCTTCCGGTACAGTTACTATATCAACTGAAACAAATACTACAAACGTAGTTCAGGGAGAACATTTATTTCATTGTTTAAAGCGTACTTTCTGAACAGATACATCAAATTCAATTTAATAGAGTATGTGTGTTAGAATTCCTTTGTAATATCTTCGCCACTCAGACGCACTCGGTGGCAAATTTAATTAAAGACTATCCATTAATTTGTGCAACTTACCTAGCATTTAACAGAGTAAAATTCCCAAATTATATTGCGGCAATGGAAAAGGCGTGGCGTTGATGAATAACCCTATTACTTTTTATTGTTATTTGACCTTTATAACTTCTCTTGTTTCTTTCATTACTCTAGTCATGTGAAGTGAAGAACACCATAACCGAAATCTAATCAAGTGACAAATAACATGTTTTGTGTGGAGTTCTTTGAAATTGAATCTTTTCTTATAGATTGTACGCACTCTTATTTTATTATTATTATTATTATTATTATTATTATTATTATTATTATTATTATTATTATTATTATTAAGTTTCAGTTTATATTTAAATCACTATGAAGAACGTAATGCAGGTAGTATTGCTTGTGATGGCAATTTGATAACTCTTAGAATGCCAACTGGCGATCTCAGAAGCATATATCGTGAAGTCGTGCTTCGGCTAGAAGGAACACGAATTTGTATCTGGCTTCGGGCATGAATATTTGCTTATTTTGGCATGGTGGGTATTGTCCCAAATCATGTAAATGACAGCACAGGTGCTTGAGGCATGAGGAATGCGCCAAAATCCGCGTTACGCATTAATTTTTTCAGTAGTTGTGAGCGTAATGAGCATTCTAAGTACACCATGTTTCTTCCTTGGACTTGAAATCTTCCCCTAATTCCTTGTCTCACCCGATAAATTGTGTGAATATTCAGAATACCAGTTATGCGCAACAACAGGTCTACGCATCACTGCGGTCACCGCCATTTAGCTGCAACCACATGCTAACCTATTTTCCTCCAGTATCCACTACGGTCAGAGAAAGTATGTACAATGATAGACACGGGCTTACGCTTCACTTTGGTGCGAAGGTTAGGGACCCTCGTTAAAGTAACTAAATGATGGTCTCTTGGAGTACAAGTAAGCCGGAGGGTGTCTTATAGGTACCACGATGATAGTAGTTTATTCTTCTGCGAGGTACTTGAATTTTATCTCACGTACTCATTGCCTCCTAGAAAAAATATTATTTTTGAGTATTGTAGTCAACAGGACAAAATAGCTTGCAGGATAAAACTGTTGTAAAAAATCATGTTGAGAAAATATAAAGGTTGGTTCACAGTGAACATTTTGTTCTGAACTTCATTTTCTCCTTCTCTATGAATATCCGCAAAATCACTAACGCCGATATAGTGACACAGACACGAGAAAACGGTATTAACAGGACGGCATGTACGCTCTCTCGGAAAAATAATCACTTTTCGAGGCTGATATCCGAGAAAGAATAAATGCAGCGCCGAAGGTGAATCAGGACTAAGCGGATTTAGCGAATTTGTTCCAGCGAAGCAGGAAAACGGAACGTTCGAGCTCCGATGGGTATCGTGGCGCGCGGTGCGGTGCGGTGCGGGGAATGATGGCGGGGGCCGGGGGCGACATCAGAGGTCGCGGAGAGAGCAGCGAAGAGCGGAGGCGGGGGCGGGCGCTGCGGGCGAGAGGGCGACAGGAAGCGAACGGGTGTGCGGCGCGCCTGCCCCGCAACGGCGGCGCCGTCCGCCCAGAAAGATTATCGCAGAGCCTCTTCAATTTCTCATTTGCGCGTCGTTCGCCGAGGCGCGCCAACGCCTCCACAGGTTGCGGGGCGGAATTACGACGAAATAACCAGCATCCATTGTGGCAGCCTTTCCCGGACTGGCTGGAAAAAAGAAGCAATGGAAACGATGCGGTAATGGCGCAAAATGTTTTAGAGTTGTAAGCATTCGGAAACATCGCGGAAACCATGAAAGTTTTCCTAAACAATGGGTCACTTTATATTTTATTTCAAATAATATTTTTTTATAATTTTTTTAAATATTGTTATTCAGCTTGTAAGAGTGATGTAATAGTGTTAAGGGAATATATTATCCTTCTCGTATTTAATATAAGAACCGAGTTCGTGTGTTACTGACAGTGATCATATAGAAGATTAAAGAGGATGTACTCTTGGCGACTAAAACAAGAAACATAGTTTCATATATTTGAAGAACATATTATTGCAAGATTATGAGAGCATACTAATGAAGCTAGAAAAATCGTAATAGACGATATCCAACCCCAGATTAAACCGTAATAGGCGAATTAAACGAGAAACTGTACTACGAGTATATTGATGGAAATTGTCTTGAAGTAAAATAAAACTTAGCAGGAGATAGCAGGAGATCGTCACAAAATTATATTAAAAATTGACTATGCAGTTTACACATCACATTAGCCTGAGACTTCCACGATTACTTCAAATCATAATAATAAATAGAGAACATTTTATCCAGATTGATTTCATCCTGAAAAATAGCGCCAATATTGTCACACGGAAAATAACGATATTTTATTATCAGAACGCTAGTACTAGACAGGACGTTCTAAATGTTAAAACGTGAAAATGCATAGTTATTTAAAAGTGATGTTGAATTTCACGAACGAGACAAGCAAATGAAATATGAAATATCTGAACCAATCCTCCGCGGACACACATCTTACGCGTTCGGAGCAGAATCTGCAGAATCGTCGCTCTCCGTAGAGCGAAATTACGGCAGAGTTTGCAGCTCCTCGCCCAGAGTCCCCCGGGGAAAGCACAGTCAGAGGCAGATTAAGGAAATAGAGGCGATTAGAGGGCGAATTGAAGCGGGGAGGAGGGAAATCGAGGGGCGGAGTTACAGGCAGCGCGGAGACGTTTAGATGCAACTTCTGTGCAGCAAAGTGTGCTTCTCCACTGAAACACGTCGATTGATAATAATGCGAATATTACAATACATTTTATTGATGTGTAACAGTTTAATTTTTATACACTGTTCACAAACAAACTTTAATTGGCGTTTTATACGTTGTGAATATAATTGGGTGGATTGAAATATACATTTGAAACGTACAGACGCAGAAATATTTATTTTTATTTCAGCCAAAAAAAGTAAAAGAGAATAGTAAAAATCCAAACATATTCGAATGGCGAAAAATCATGAACTGCACCAACACGATTAAGATGGGAGACTTTCTTTCAGAAATAGCTTGGAATTTTTACATTTTTGTTTTTCTTTAAATTACATTTCATATCACACATTTTTCACATTTGGATTTCAATGAATAAAATTAGAATAGTGCCATACGGTGAACCATTCCGTATCCGGTGAACCATTCCGGTTAACCATTCCGCACATATGCGAAACATGACGGTGTTTTCACTTTACCTATGAGCTCCGTCTGTGGTTGGAGGATATAAAAATAAACACTGAAAAAATAATTTACTTCATGTAGTATTAACATGTACACCATGTAATATTTACTAAAAACTGCCAATTTTCTACAGCATTCTTCACTTCAGTGAATCGGTGCGGACTACAAATATTGAAAAAGTAGGGATGCTACAGTGACACATATGTTCTCGTAGTATTTGTAAAATACTAGGTTCTTAGGATCCCCAGACTTATCTTAGCTAACATCTCTGAAAGAACAGTCCAGCTAGTAATTTTCTGGATGGCTTTCATGAACATAGAACCTGTTTAACAAAAATCATTTTGTAAGCGTTCTCTGATATAATAAAATATTAAGGAATAATTGGAGCAAAGTTTTGAGTTGGGACCTCTTGTCCCAAATATATATTTCCAATTTAAGAGACCATGAAATCAGCCAGATCAATTCGGGAATATCAGATTTATTAAATATTCAATGTGTGGTTATGAACTAGCGTTGTACATTAAAGATCTGTAAAAGCCACCCTGGATTCTGAGCACACTACATATTCGGGAGTGTAATTTCCTACATACAAGACCACGTCAAATACTCACATAAAAAACCCTTAATAGAAGCTTTCCTGTCGAACCACTAGAACCCTTCGCTTCAGCATTACAATACATTGTTCATTCTACGTAGTATTATAGAAAGTACAAAAAAATTAGATTCAAAAGGGAACTGTCAGAACTTCAATTTATTTCTAGTGATCGTTGCAGGATATCGGAGTAAAATGGTGTAAAAATAGTGAATTTTCCGCTGAGAAACAGAATAAAAAAGTTCCGCAAATTCGTTTTCTTCACCGGCAATTCCAATAAAACGATCAGGATTTGAACTAGATGAAAGTGAGGCGGGTCGCCGTCGGATGCTCGCCAGTGCTTACGGGCGCGGTTTCACGAGCGAGACGGCATGTTCAAGGGTGGTGGACGAGGAAGGAACTGCGTCTGGGAGCCGCCGCCTGCGCGCCACCCCATCCCATCTTGCTTCTTCCCGCCCTTTCCCCCTCCTCCAACACTCACGGCCATGCTACCCCCACCTCCTCCATCCTCCGCCCTGGCTCACCACTACCCGTCACGCGTCCACCACCTCCCTCATCCCTCGCCCTGCCCCCTCCCCCTCCAATTCCCCACCACGCTTCCCCGCATCCCCCATTCCCACCTGCCCCCTCCCCCACCCACTCGCCCACCACGCTTCCGCACACCCCATCCCCCGCCTGCCCCCTCCCCCACCACTCCCACCACAGCTTCAACCCATCTCCCATCCCCCGCCCTCCCCTTTCCCCAACACTCCCCGCCATGCTTCCCCACCTTCCTCATTCCCCTCGCCTCACCCCACCTCACTCCGCCCTGTCCTTCCGCGCCCTGCTTACCTTTTCTTCGCCCTACCTACCCTTCTCCGCCCACCCCACGCCTCGCTTTGTCCCGCTCGCGCGTCCTCCTCACTTCGCCTCGCCCCGTTCCCCCTGCTGTGCCCCGCCACGCCACGCCTCGCGTCGCCTCCGCGAATCCGCTTTGCCGCAAGTGCTTTGCAGGCTTCGTGTCCGCTCCGCTGGCTCTGGGCGCTCGTCCGGAGCACCCAGGCAACCACCCAGGCACCAACCAAGGCAACCTGGTGCCACACGCGGACGCTCGCGCGCCGAATTCGCGCCAGCTGCACTCCCCCATCCCCTCCCCACAACCCGGCCGCAATCTGCACCACGCCCCCCCCCCGCAAAGTTCTCCTTGCCGCTTTCATATTTCAACGCACGTGTTCTATCACGTACCTCATAATAATGAAATTCATATAAAAGCAGTGCATCTCTACGCAGAAATTTAAGGAATAGGAGAGCCGTGTGTTACATCATCCGATAAAGTCTCAGCAGTTTGTTCTATTCAAAATTAAAACACAAAGTGGTACATTATCAATAAGTAACAGTCTTTAAAGTTCTTTCATATCTTTATCAACAATAAATATGGCGTGTAATTCAAACAGTTGGTAAGTCGGTTTTGCGTACCACCTGTCTTTGGATAACTTTAAGATGACGCTTCTTACTGAACGGTTTCTTCACATTTCCAATTGAAATTGACGTCCTACGAAAAGAGAGCGCGTTAAATCCAAAATTACGCTCAGTGAAGTGTGAAAACGATAAAAAGGACACTGAATTATAATCCAGCATCATCAATTTCTTAGCAACCAATAGGTCCGATAATGATTTATAATCATGCGTTTGGAACGAAATGCAAATTGCAACGTTTTGTTTTACGATCTCGCAACGGGAGGGAGATAGCGTTGCAGAGGTGGGCATTAGATGCCCTTCTACGACCAGGTTTAGATAAAAGAAAATATTCTGCCAAACGTTGTCGGCAACACAATGAGTTATTTTATTTAAGTTACCCTATATACTACATATTAATGTATTACCGTGTATTATGTGTTACGCATTATTATGAGCAGGATCAGGAAAACAATGTTAGTAATATTTAGTATTTTAAAGTGGACTAATCCAACAGCCATTTAATAGTATTCTCAGGCCTGATTTGTTATTTACTATCCATGCGTGAGAATAAGAGAAACATGTGACGAGCATGAGGTATTCCCACCATCGTACATAGCCTACTTGGCCTGCTTGGGCTTCTTTCTTTTGTCTCACAACTATAGAAACTGAGACGATTTGTATTAGAAAGCCACAGCCTGATTTATTCTCATGCCAAGAATCTAACCCGAGGCCGACTCATAGACAAGTAGTAAATTGCTCTTGAGACACCCGTGGGGCTGCTAGAAAATAATTAGTAACTTATAATTAAATCATTACTTAAAACATCTTGTCAGCTAGAAAGGTTTGACCTTCACACAAAATTGCTTCACAAAGCTAGACATTTGCTACACAAATTTACAAAATAAGCAAATTTTGTAGAACTTGACGTGTATGTTATTAATAAATATTACACTGGAAATGTTTTAAACAATTTTGTACTTGGGTACTTGAACGAAATTGTCATGGGTATGAAAGCTCAGTAAAACTGTACATTTTTCATGAGCGAAAGACGTAAAATTACATAAAAAACGTGTATCCTTGCTGCCAGAGTTTGGTGTTATTTCATATAAAAAAATGAAACTTTATTAAAGAGCTCTGGCATGCCTTTTATTTAAATTTTTGTTATACAGCCGTTTACTTAATAATATATTTTGTAGTTACTGTATTTCGATGAGATACGTTCTCAACATACCCTCATTCTTCAGAAGATACACAAATTCTCTACATAGAAGTAGTACTGAAATATTCGTTTTTTTATGTTCGTTTTTTTGACGTAGTCAAATATGTTAGATTCGTTTCCATTATTTAAGGACGAGACCGCGTCATTATAATTCTCCGCTTGACGCATTCGATCAGGACATGCGCTGTTGACAAATGCCGGCCATCTGTATCGCTGAACACATTGTGACCGCCAATTAGACGGCTGGGTATCGACTGGCGGTTGCGCTATC